TGTAATGTTAGCACATATATCCGTCCAGACTTTTCGACGCGTTTCCCTTAATGATACGTTGACTTAGGTCGGGATGTATTTATCTACGTCAAGTGCATCGAAAGTTTAGAGACATACAAAGAAACCCAGAGCATATCAACGCATTCCCACAACAGATAAATTGATATACTCTTAGTCTGTGCTTTGAACGTTGGACCTCGAAGATCCCCTTTTAAAATCTTAAACATCAGTGTTTAACGCTGGCAGCGCTATCAAGTTTGACATTTTGAACTTGTGGCACGCAGTCACTGACTTCTGCGGAACTGCATCACACGGGGCTGTTTGTTGAGGCGCACTGCATAAATTAGTTGAGCTGCGTGCTGTAGCATACTGACCTAATTTTGCCTGTGTTTTGTATGCCGCCCCAAACATTTTCCGGCGTCCTGAACAATGTGATCCCCATCTGCTTGTTCCCCAGACCCTCCAGGAAGAGTAGCAGCAGCAGCAGCAGCAGCAGCAGCAGCAGCATCAGCAGCAGCAGCAGCAGCAGCAGCAGGGCGGTTCAGGGTTATGTTTGGGTGGGGACGGGGGGTTGATTGGGGTATCTATTGGGGTCAAGGGGTGCTTAAATAGGAGCGTTTAGGAGGGTAGATGTGTCGAGGAGTCGAGGTGTGTATGTAGACATATGAATATGTGCACACAGTTCGAGGCACAGGCATGTGCAGCTCCCCCAATGTTCCAGGGCCTGGGAAGCTTCTTCGAATAGGCTGAAGAAGACATGTACGAGTTTGAGACACGTGCCAAGGGCCAGCAGAACCTGCCAGCGGGTGGCCGGTTCCAAACCCACAGAGAGGGAATTCCCAGTCTGTAAACAAGCGAATTAGCGGCGTTGGCTCGTTGCATGGGAGCAGGATGTTGCAAGTACGCAGGGGTTTCGCAGTAGGGGGTCGGCATTTTCCGGCAGCTGCCTCATCGGACGTGCGGTTTGGCCGTTGTCAGTCCGTTCGATTTTGTTGAAACCATGCAATTCACGTCGTTTGACTTGGAGGTGACTTGGCCGAGCTCTGCGGCTGTCACTCCAGCAAGTTTTAGCTGAGTTTATTCGCAAAGCCTAGCATGGGCTGCAGTGCTTGTGCCAGGTGTGGTGCAAATGCCAGACGAAATCACGGCAATCTCCCTGGTTGCCCTTGGCACTTCGCTGCATCGGCCTCATTTCGGCACTGACGTGGCTGCTTTCGCCGGGTGATCCCCACGTGGTTCTATGGTCTGAAGGCCAGACACCTTTGCATCCAAATCGGCCGCTGAGCAGGACTGTCACAACTGGCATAGCACAAGACGGGGCAACTGCCCACACCACCCCCGACTGCCACCTTCTTGTCCATGTTTTCGATTCTGAAGCGACATCCTGTCCCGGCTGCATCACCGGGGTGAAGCCGCCGTGAGTTCGCACAATCTACTGTCGCCCCTAGAGATGCTGTATCGAGGATTTGCAAGGTTTGGACTTTGAGTCTCCTTTCTGAGCAGTCTGTACGGTTTCGCGCCGCTGAGGGCTTTTGGCTGTTGATTCTGGGGGGTGTCGTTCGAAGACACGTAGAAGTGGTTGCCAGCCACTTCGAAGGCATTGCAAGCAGGTTTGACAAAACCGTTTGCAGGATCCCACAGCAGATGCTTCTATCGGAAATGTCACTGGAAGTAACTCCGTCAATGCTACGCGCTGAGTGGAGACTGCATGGTAAAGCAGGCTGAGACTCGAGGCTCGAGTGAAATCAGGTCTTCCTTGGTCTCGGCTTGCCTTGGACCATCGGGGCAATTTACTGGGCAGCTCTAGGCACGGGTACGCGTGCACACGTTGCCGGAGCTACAAGTAACGGGCATTGGGTTGCCCTCAGGCGACTTGTCAGCGGATCATTATTGGTTTGAGAAGTACCGTGGCCAGAGTTCGGAGCTCGATAAGTTGATGCCCGATGCAAAATACCCGAAACAGACGCCAACTCGCCAGGTGTCGTGGACATTTATCCGACAGGTGGGCAGTTCGTGGTTTTAGGTGGGAACTTGGGCTTTAGCGCCGCGAGCCCAGCACTTGTCCAGACCATGCTTTCGTTGACCTGCTGTTTTCATCGTTGTTGAGGTGGCTGTCTTTTGCTGCTGCGCGTCTTGCTGCATCATGGTCTTGCACTCAGAGGTCATACGTGCGTCGGTGTGCTGTGAGAGTTTGGAGGGTGCTGGGCGACTGGGTGCAAGGTGATTCTGATACGGCGATGGTTTGTCGGTGGCGAGCTCGGCGGTCCGAAAGGCCAGGCCCTGGGTTGGGGATGCGGAGTTTGAAGCTTCACATAGCTTCCCGAATCTACACGCACAGCGCTGCCCGAGGCTTGATGTATGCAACCTCAGCATTCCTTGCCCTTGGCTGAGATTGCTAGTGCTAGCTATCATAATTGCCTTGTGTCGATCAGTTTCAGCTGTGTGTGCGTGTGCGTGCATGATCGTGCATGTACAGACGAAACAGCTGAACGGGGCTCATCGCTGTGCCACGTGAACCTTGTATGATGTGTTGCAACATGCGAGAAGAAGAAATGCCTGCGGAAGTGGCAAATCCGCGACTTTTCTGGTAGTTTTACTTGAGATTCACTGCGAGACAAAAGTTAGAACTGGACGGGACGTTCTACATCACCATAACAGATTCCAGCAGGCACATTGTCGAGCCTGCACGTGCAAGGTTTGACAAGCGGACGCTCACACGCCGGTGTTGATTAACCTCTCTGAACTCGTAACTCCCCAAAACCCTGAACCCCCACCATCCTAAACCTCATAGCAGAACCCTGCCCGATTCTAGCAGGACAGGATGCCATACATTGATCATCGTGTTTGAGTGCCTGTCTGACAACGGGTCTGGCGTTCACGGCCTTCAACAGTTGCGACTGCAACCGTCACGACCGGGGAGCTTGGAGCCGGCAGGGGCAACTCTGTGACAGTTGCGGCTTTTGCGCAAATTGGAAACAGTCAGTCACCGGGATGGGCTGCTTTTTGCTGGAATCCGTGAGACAGATTATTGGAGCTGGACCGTGCGGATCTTGCCATCGCCATGGCAGCAGGGACCCGACACACATCCGCACAATGAGTGAGAAAGGAGGACTAAACAAAGCCAAATCCACCCCCGCAGGGAGACAGGCCCAAGTCGGCAGCAGGAAATCTATTCCACCTACAGTGGAGGATGTGCGTGTGTGTGTGTGGGTGTGTGTGTGTGTGTATGTGTGTGTGTGTGAAGGAGTTCACTTCTTCTGTTAGCAGGGGGGGCACCCCGTAAGCATAGCTGGTTGCCCAACGAAGAGGGCTATGCCGCTGCTGATACTGGGTCTGATCAACCCAGCGTACCCGCAAATGTTTTCTGCAAGTGAAGTGGCCAGGGGCTAAGCCAAGAACCCCAAGATAGGAAACAGGAAGTGCTTGAGAGAGTGTGCGATTACTTTGTCAGAGAGAGTTCATGTGCGTGGGTGCGTGGGTGCGTGCGGGCGTGCATTGTCCGGTAGGCCGATATTTGTTGTTCGTGGCCCCGAGGGTGGCGGCATGCCGGACTTCTGTTCTGGATCAACAATTACTGTGCAGATGCATATATTCATGCAGTGCGCTCAACTCTGAGGTCTGCTTGTGGCTGACATACGTGGGCCTGTCCTCATGGAACGTCCTGACGCAGAAAAGCTAGGCGCGCCTGACAGACCAGAATCACAGTCCTACGCACGTGCTTGCGCTGACAATATTGGACAGCACTTCCTGCGTTACCAAGACTCTTGAGCTTGCTTGGGGAGCTGAGGCGGGTTTGGGAACACAGCGCGGCTGAAGCTCGACAGTTTCCCTGGCCCTATTCGGACAACGATTTGCTTCATGCGTGCGCAAAAGCGCAACGCGATGGTGTTCCTGGTTCAACACTGCTGGAAACTCCAATAGTCTTAGGCTCGCAGCGTTCGCCCATGGATGACTTCCGATTGAACGCATTGGCACACCAGAAGAATTAGATTTCACGAAATTTATTGACAAAAGCTGGCACGACACCACCCTCAAGAGCAAGGGGTAGTTATCGGATGGTTGGGCTGTCTTGCAGACTTCACCTGCTTAGTTTGTTTGTTGAATGCAAAGGAGACGCTCAGCCCAACCTGTCCTTGTGCCCTTTATGATAATGCAACGGAGCATGTGTCACACGGCCCAACATCCAAAGGGTGTTGTAGCCATATCTTGAAACTGCGTGAATTCGGCTTTGCATCGCCGGGATCCCGGTTCCTGTATCATAACCGTGCACGCTCACAGTTCTTACCCCAGCCACTGCGAGATCCACCATTAAATTGAGACGTCTCGGGCTGGCCCCGTGGATTCCTTGCATCGCTTGGTACCATCATATTGAAGCTCAGTTCTGAAATTTGGTGAAGGGTGTTCTGTGTCGAGCACTGGCGTCATGTGGATCTCGTTCCGACATCAGTGTCAGCGCATTAGACATCTTCAGCTTTCGGCCCGGGGCTCAGCCTGCAGTCTGCAGCTAGTCTTACGGTTTGCCTCATCCCTTTGCCGAGGTCCGCAGTCCCTACAGCGCACAAAGCTTGGGCAACCCTGAAGGGGCCGAGGACAGCGGAGACTTTTCTCGACGAGCCTGAAGGAAGTTAGCACGAAGTGCCAGGATCCATTAAGATTACAGTGCAAGACCTGAAATTGTTAACGAGAAGGACGGCCCAACAGCTTGGAGTTGGGACGTTCCTGTTGGCACCGTGCCAGCAGGCAAATGTTGTCAGAGGAGCCGTAACCATCTGCGAGGAATCAAAAGCAGCACAAAATCAGTTTGGTGTATGCAGTTTTCAAAGCCGCATGCGGCCCTTGCATGCATGCCCTTGCACCACAGCGAAGTCCGACTGCATGTTGAGCAGATGCAACGAGGGTGGATGCATGTGTACAATCAGGCCCAAAGGCAGAGATCGTTTTCAGAACGTAGATTTTTGACATGGCAATGGGCCAGCTTTGAGGCCAACCAGCATTCGCTCATGGATTGGGTCTTGGCGATCTGGAGTCTTGCGGGTCTTGCACTGGTTGCATGCGGCTCCACCGTTCCAGACTCTCCTGAGCATGTGTGGTTGGAGCGGGGGACGGACGCTTGTCTCAATACCTGCAGGCTTTGCCGACATTCGTGGTCCACTGCACAAGTAGGCTTGATTTCATTATGACTGAGACGTCTGCGCCAGGTGCTGGGTGCTGAAGAGCTGGACGTGGACGAGCATGTCACTGTGAGATGGAGCCATTTCGTCGGTGCTGACAAAGGCTGGTACTCGTGGGGTTATGTTCGTGACAGCTCAGGCAATTTTCTAGATTCGATCACCGGCAACACGAAGGCCACTGGTGTGTTCGCCTGGCAGGTTCCTGCGAGACTCTGTGGCAAGAAGATTCAAGTGGAAATGTGCAGCGGCAGTCCTCCACGGAAGACAAAGCATGCTTGCCACCGGTCGAAGGGTTATCTGGTCAAAGGTGACTGCCCGGAGGATGTCTCGAGCGTAAGGAGCGTTGAAGGCACCACCACGACGACCACCTTGGCGGACATTCGCGAATTGGGCCCGTTGTCACTGCATTCCAGATCTCGACGTTGGACTCAGGCTTCCGGCAGCAGCCAAAGCATGATCACTGACACCGAAAGAGCATCCGATGCCTCAGTGACTTCGGTGGCCCTAGTTGTCGTGTGGTTGGGCAGGTTGCCTCCCTTCGTGGGTGCTTTTGCAGAGACTGCTCGGCGTAGTGGAGCCACATTCTTCATTTTCCATACACATGAAGAAGAATCTCCCGTGCATGCTGACAACGTTCACTTTGAGCACTTGACCTTGAAAAGCTTGGCAACCAGACTTTGGAAGACTGACGTAATTCAAAATGTCTTCAGTACCATGTCCTTTGAGTCTTTCGAAGGTCGCGTGGCAGAATGCTATGCGGATGACAATCCAGCAAAAGGCAACGACCTAAAACCTCTATATGGAGCTTTGTTTCGGGAGGAACTAAGCAACTACACACATTGGGGCTGGACAGATCTTGACATGATTTGGGGAAGGCTCGACCTCTTCGTGACAAAGGATTTGTTGACAACATACGATGTGATTTCTTTCCCGGACGGTGCCAGGCCGGCCTTGTACCTTTCAGGACAGCTCACGATCTTTCAAAACACGCCCATCTGGCGCCACTTCGTGGACGGTTGCCTGGAGGGTCCCGGCCACGTGAACTACGGGGGGTGCTATGCGGAGGGGCTCTTGTCAGAAGCGAATCTTTTCTTCGATGAGAAGCTTGCGATCTGGTTTGCAGCACTGAGACGTGCACGCATTTGGGTGGATTTCAGTCTGTTGCTGATAGAGCCCAGGTGGTCGCGGTTGTCTGGCCGTGGTGTGCAGAAGCTGTCTCGCCAGCACTCGGAAGGGCGCCTGCTGGTGCATGGGAGTCAGAGTTTGCCTTTCGTGGATGTTGAGCGACGGAACATGGAAGTGCACAAACTGCAGAACTCATCAGACTGCTACACAGAGTTTGGACTCGGATGGAGCTTTGTCTGTGTTCCGACCGAGGGGAACGATGCCTTCGGCATTGCGTATGAAATTGCTGGTCAAAGGTTGCTACTGTGGCCGTCGTTGCCTCGCCTGGTAGATGGCGGAGTGGAGTTTGCAGCGTGGCACTTGCACCGGAGTAAACAACGCCTTCACTGGGAGTCCCAGTGCCAAACGGTGACATGCCACAGAGAACGCCAATCTGCAAACATCAGCTGTGAATGCGGCTCTTCTGGGTCGGAGGGAGCTACTTGGAATCTCCCGATTCCGAACATTGTCCATTTCGTGCTCACCGACCGAAACACCCGATTCTTTGACTGGCCCTGCTATGCAGCCATCCGAAGTGCTTGGGAAACGCTCCAGCCTGAACAGTTGCTTGTTCACGTTTTGGATGGAGTGGAACCCGGCACTTTTGATGACTGGTGGCAGGCTGCCAGGGCATTCATTACTGCAGTCGTTCCATTTTCACGCTCGGCCGTGCCGTCTTCACTGAATGGACTTCGGCTCAGCCATCCTGCATTCATAGCTGATTTCTGGCGCATTCAAATCCTGCACGATTGGGGTGGCATATATATGGATACAGATGCGTTGTCCTTGCGTGAGTTTGAGGACTTGCGAGGATGGAGGGCTGTTCTGGCAAGACAGGGCGGAGTGGAGCTGCGTGCTACCGTGGGATTGATGATGTTTGAGAAGCACTCCCCGGTGCTGCTGCCCCTGCTTGATCGAATGAGGAAAGCTTACACCGGATCCTGGGGAGTACATGCTGGGCATGGGACTTAGAAAGCGTGAGCCTCCCTGGTACAACAACAGACCCTAATTTGAATCACTGAATCACAACACTGGATTCAGCCATCCGGAAGAGTTTAAATCAAGCAGAGTTTGGCATTGGAGCGCGAATCTTGGACACGAAGAACCAGCAGAACGGGGTTGGGCTTCGTGCAGTTCCCAAGCAGAAGCTCCAAAATCCTCCAGTCACCAAAGAGTCTGCAGACGATGGTCCAAATCTTGCGCACTGGCACACTAAAGCCAAAGCATACATAGGGCTGCACGTCCCCATCTGCGATTTGTTCCAAAGTCTGGCTGGGCCGTGTTCGTTTCCTTTGCCCATGCGTTGTTTTTCTGTCTCTGTCCAGCTCTCTCTCTCTCTCTCTCCCTCTCTCCTCTTGCTCTCTCCGTGTCACTCTATTGTGGAGCGTCGAATGTCAGGTCCGTGACCTTGCTTGTATGTGACTGTGTGCACGACACACTGTACTGGCCGCTTTGTTGGCTCAGGCATGTTCTGGACGACATGCTGGCAGGCACCCGTCCCGAAGGAGTTGCAATCTTGGCGCATAGCAGCGGCTTCTTCGCATCTTCTTGGCATGCGTCTGATTTTGTCGAACTAATGGAAGAGTCTGGCATGGTGGACTGGAGCCGCTGCTGGTCTCTGCATCTTTACAACTCTCAAACCAAGTTGCTCAGCTTTCACTTTCGCGCTGTGGTTTCCAGGAAGCACGCGAGGAAGTGGTCATCAGGCACTTTTCCTCCTTTTTTTTCCCCCTCTCGCCCGCGACTACTAGTAGTTCTTCTTCTTTAGAAGAAGTAGTCGTCGTAGTTGTAGTAGTAGTAGTTGTAGTAGTAGTAGTAGTAGTAGTAGTAGTAGTAGTAGTAGTAGTAATGTTAACCTCATTTTATAAACCCCCCCTCAATTACAAAACCCCACCCCCGGAACTCAATTATAAACCCCCCCTCAATTACAAAACCCCCCGGCCCAAATCCCCGAAATTAGATACTTGTTGTTCTGTCTTGTTCTGTGTTGTTTAGAGAGAGAGAGAGAGAGAGAGAGAAAGAGAGAGAAGCTGCAGCTACTACGACAGCTTCAGGTATGCAGAGAGAGAAACTGCAGCTACTACGAGTGCTTGACGTCTGCAGAGAGAGAGAAACTGCAGCTACTACGACTGTTTCAGGTCTGCAGAGAGAGAGAGAGAGAGAAACTGCAGCTACTAGGACTGCTTGACGTCTGCAGAAAGAGAGAAACTGCAACTACTACGGCTGCTTCAGGTCTGCAGAGAGAGAGAAACTGCAGCTACTCAAATTTAGATGGCCTCAGAAACCATGCCTTCCTTAATAAAAGTCCTTATTCCCGGAGCCAAAAATCAATCCATCCTGATGGAGTACTACAAAGGCCGTTCTTCGCAATTCTAAACCCCCCCTCAATTATAAACTCCCGCCGGGGAGGGCCTTTTGGTGGTGCCTTTAAAGGCCTTGAAAAGGACAGCAAGCTTTACAGGCCAAGCCCTTCATTGGGAAAGCTCTGGATTCAAAAGGAAAGCAAGCTGTGGGAGCAGAGCCGTTGATTGGAATAACGTACCTTTAGCCGCCATGCCCTTGCTTGCGAAAGCTTCGGCTTTCAAAGGAGGAGGGAGAGGAGAGCAGGATCATTGTTCATTGCTGGTACTTTACCAAACGTGCCTTGTCCGCCGGAAGAGCTGGACTCAGAGGCTTTACTACTACTGTACTACTACTGTACTATACTACTGTACTACTGTACTATTGTGATACTATACTACCGTACTACGACGACCGACCACCCCCTCAATAGTCAATCCACCCCGGGCGCCAAACCAATCAAGGGGGAGGGGGGGGTTTATTAATAGGAGGTCGTACAAGTAGTAGTAGTAGTAGTAGTAGCAGCAGCAGGAGGAGTCGTAGTAATAATAGTAGTAGTAGTAGCAGTAGCAGTAGCAGTAGCAGTAGCAGTAGCAGTAGCAGTAGCAGTAGCAGTAGCAGTAGCAGTAACAGCAGCAGTAGCAGTAGCAGTAGCAGTAGCAGTAGCAGTAGCAGTAGCAGTAGCAGTAGCAGTAGCAGTAGCAGTAGCAGTAGCAGTAGCAGAGTAGCAGAGTAGCAGTAGCAGAGTAGCAGTAGCAGAGTAGCAGTAGCAGAGTAGCAGTAGCAGAGTAGCAGTAGCAGAGTAGCAGTAGCAGAGTAGCAGTAGCAGAGTAGCAGTAGCAGAGTAGCAGTAGCAGAGTAGCAGTAGCAGTAGCAGTAGCAGTAGCAGTAGCAGTAGCAGTAGCAGTAGCAGCAGTCGTAGTAGTAATAGTAGTAGCAGTAGTAGTAGGAGTAGGAGTAGGAGTAGGAGTAGGAGTAGGAGTAGGAGTAGGAGTAGGAGTAGGAGTAGGAGTAGGAGTAGGAGTAGGAGTAGGAGTAGGAGTAGGAGTAGGAGTAGCAGTAGCAGTAGCAGTAGCAGTAGCAGTAGCAGTAGCAGTAGCAGTAGCAGTAGTAGCAGTAGCAGCAGTAGTAGCAGTAGCAGTAGCAGTAGTAGTAGTAGTAGTAGTAGTAGCAGTAGTAGTAGTAGTAGTAGTAGTAGTAGTAGTAGTAGTAGTAGTAGTAGTAGTCAGTAGTAGTAGTAGTAGTAGTAGTAGTAGTAGTAGTAGTAGTAGTAGTAGTAGTCAGTAGTAGTAGTAGCAGTAGCAGTAGGAGTAGGAGTAGGAGTAGGAGCAGTAGCAGTAGCAGTAGCAGTAGCAGTAGCAGTAGCAGTAGCAGTAGCAGTAGCAGTAGCAGTAGCAGTAGCAGTAGCAGTAGCGGAGTAGCGGAGTAGCAGAGTAGCAGTAGCAGAGTAGCAGAGTAGCAGCAGCAGTAGCAGTAGCAGTAGCAGTAGCAGTAGCTGTAGCAGTAGCAGTAGCAGTAGCAGTAGCAGTAGCAGTAGTAGTAGTAGTAGTAGTAGTAGTAGTAGTAGTTAGTAGTAGTAGTAGTAGTAGTAGTAGTAGTAGTAGTAGTAGTAGTAGTAGTAGTAGTAGTAGTAGTAGTAGTAGTAGTAGTAGTAGTAGTAGTAGTAGTAGTAGTAGTTAGTAGTAGTAGTAGTAGTAGTAGTAGTAGTAGTAGTAGTAGTAGTAGTAGTAGTAGTAGTACTCGGTTTAGCAGTACTAGTAGTATTTATACTGAACAGCTAGTAGTACTGTCGAATGCCTGTTTCTTTAGTTCTAGCAGATTCTAGCAACGCTCTCCGCAGCTGTTCGCTTGTACACAAAATTTTTGCTTTCCTGTTTCTAAAAGCCTTTCCGCTAGCTAATCTCTTGCAGAGTAGTGGTGGACGCCGCTGCCACCGGGGCCCCCGACCCAAAAAAAGCCTCCGCGTGCGGCCTCGTGGTAACCGTGCGATACAGTTGTCTCAGTGAGGCTTTGACAGAATGCCGCATAGAGCCAAGGCGGTTTACCAGGGATCCCGTCGAGCTTTGCAGAGATTCATCCTACAAGTCTGGAGATCTGTGCAATGGTCTTCGCTTGGCAGTTGTAGCTCTTTCGCACATGCAGCCACCAGCCAATATCAGCATCACACTGCAGATTTATATGCATCAAAGCATGTTAAGGACATGGACGACATCTATGGCATGGTTGGTCGTGGGTATCCTGTGATGAGCAGCACCTGGGCTGGTACTTGCAAGCCAAGGGTGTATGAAATAAGTGGGCGGGCAATTACGAACCGCCTGCGTGGAATGGGCGATTGATTCGGGCTGTTGCCACGACTTGCGGGCTGCTTTCGGCGATTCCCCCATTGCCATGACTCTTGCTGGCGCAGTCAGCTGTGAGCAGCTCGAGTAGGATGCAAAGCAGCCATTGTCACACTTGTCGCAGATGTCCAGATGTTCACATCAGGTCGGATCGAGGAAGCATTCCTGAAAAGAGCCGACGAGCAAGCCGCGCTGTTTGATGTCCCAGCCGCTTGGCGATATAATATTATTGCTTGCCCCCTTTGCATGTGGCTGCTTTGCCCTTGCCAGCCCTTTGCAGGTTTCTCACTCCCTGGATATTCAGCGAGAGACCGCACAGGCAAGTGTATTGGGACAGGGCGCCAGCAGCCGTCAGCCTCTGGTATTCTCGGCAGGCATCGCGACCAGAGCTTTGACGACCAGACCTCCGTGATGACATGGCTTCCCTCAGCTGCGGTTCGGGGCCTAACATCGACACAGGGTCGGCGGTGGCCCTGGAGTTACTTCGGCAAGTAAATCCTTCAACACTTCACGTAGGCGCAGGCCATGAAGAAGTCACACCGAGACCCGAAGAAATACAAAGAGATGCCGAAAAGCCTCGGTCGAGAGCTGAAGGCTTAAGCGGCTTCAGTATCGATGTTGACAGAGCTCAGAGGGCTTGGCCGAAGCTGGCGATGGCCACCTGTGCTAAACAAGCAGGTTAGCGAGTTATGGCGAGATGCTTAGCCGGTAAAAGCCTGCTTGCAAATGGTTTTGGAGTTTGAAAGCTGTGAGGGTTTTGTTGGCAGTTTCGACCGCACCATCCCAACAACAGCAAGATGTTTGCCGGCTTGCTTGCTCAAGCCTGCATCAGCTGCCGAGTCAGCTGTTTCTGGACTTCTTCCATGTTCGTGTCACCTCATCCCAAGCTCGCATCGACACTACACCACGAGCAGTGCCACGCCTCAGGCATCACCCGTCGCAGTCAGTGAAGGTCAGCATGACTGGCACGTCCAAGGGTCCCACGTATGTCCCCCTGGAGGCTGGCTGCAGAAGATTGCATGGGCAACAGCATGGAAAACCTATCTAAGACGGTTGTGCTGCAGGGCAGCCATAAAGAAGGGCTTGCTCTTGTGGTCATGCTGAAGTAGCTCGATGCTTTTTGTCAGACTTTAGCTTCAGGTGACCACCCGATGTGACGACGACTCGGAAGTGGAGGCCACCAGCTTTCATTCGATCATGATTACACGAGGCAGTGTAGATGCTATGGTGCCGAGATGGGATACCAGCACTTGCCCTTCAGCCTGGCACTCAGTTCGAGACTACTGCTACAGC